TGAGGCCATTACTTAGGGCTTGCAGGTAGTCCTCCATGTTCTTCTGTGAGACGAAGCGGTAGTAGCCGGTGAGATTGGGGGGCATTGTCCAGATGGGTCAAGATGCAGGTAAAGATTTGGGGAAGTTGTAGGAGACAAGGCCAACAGAGAGAAGTCGGCTGGTGGGGCTGACAGACACCAGGCAGTCAGTCTTCTTTGCACCAAGACCGACCTTGGAAAGTCTATGTTTTCCAGAACTTTGTAGGACTGGGGGCCCTGCTGCAATAAGAGTCCCTCCTAGACTCTCTCCCTCCCCTCATGGAGTTTGGGGCTGAAGTCTGCCTGGCAGCCTTAGGGAGGGCAGGGCCTTGGCAAGTTTGTGCTTGACCACAACATTTCCTAGGGAAGGAACTGGGGGAGCCGAGGGTTCTGGGCTGTCAGTCATCCAAGACCCGAGAGCCCTCCCGCAGGTCAATCTTGGCCTCAGTCCCACTCGTCCTCAGACAGAGCCCCCAGGGGCAGTCTCTCTTGGGATGGAGCTGCAGTAGGGCTGGGGTGGGGCAGAGAGCGTTCTTGCTGGCTCCCCCAGGGATGAAGTCTGACACTACAAGAGATTCTGGGGATCTTGAAAGGCGTGAGGAGGGGAGATAGGGAAGAAGGGAGGTAGCCCCTTGGCCAGGAGTCACTGATGAAAACCCTGAAAGCTCCCTCGGACACCTCACCTGAGCTGGAGCACAAACTCTGCTCTCCAGCAGCGCTTCTCAACCTTCCTCATGCCACGACCCTTTCATACAGTTCCTCATGTGTGGGGGGACCCCAACCAAACATTATTGTCGTTGCTACTTCATCACCGTCATTTTGCTACTGTTAGGAATCGTCATGTAAATATCTGATAGGCAGGATGTATTTTCATTGTTACAAATTGAACATCATTAAAGCATAGTGATGATTCACAAAAACAATATGTCATTATATATTGTGAAATCTTTATTTCTAATGACAAATAAATGAAATTTTGTTTTGAAGCATGGTGTAGCATGGGTACCAGTCTTCACACCGGCTACTCTTAGGTGGGGGCATCTGCATGTGGGCAGACCGGCCTGGAGACTGACAGAGGAGCGGCGTCTCAGTTCCTAAGACCATCGGAAATACGTGTTTTCTGATGGTCTCAGACGACCCCTGTGAAAGGGTCGCTCGACCCCCAAAGGGGTCGTGACCCACAGGTTGAGAACCGCTGCTCTAAATCGCCCCTGGGTGGGGCAGGCTGGTGCCAGAGCAACGCTCTTCCCAGACAGAAGGCGTTGAGTTAGAGCTCAGCCTCTAGAGGTGTCTGCTTGGCTGCTTTCAAATGCTCTATTCTTTGGACCCAGGGCGTCCCTCTTCCTCCAGGGTCGCCAGTGTCAGCCATCAGTCCTTCATGCGGAGTCTCTGGTGAGTGTAACAAGTGTAGTTGGTGGGGGAGGGGCCCTGCTTAAATTATTGTGTGTCACTTTTCACCGCCCCCCCCAAATAAAACCAAAAACCTGCCCACTCCTTCTAACCTACCAGCTTCTCCTGCGTCAGGATCAGCTGCCTGTGGTTCGGATGGGAAAATCCAGGCGCAGGAGCAGGGATTGGGTAGGTGGGGGTGCGAACAACTGCAGTGGTTCGTGTGTGTGTGTGTGTGTGTGTGTGTGTGTGTGTGCGCTGGGCTGACGTTCCAGCTGCTGATGCATTGTCCCCACAGGTGTGCGTGAGGGGATTACAATAGCAGGGGGGGGGGATGTAGTCCCCCACCCCACCCCGCCCCCCACCGCTGGTTCCTCAGGTCCTGGGGAGGGAAGCCGAAAGGCCAGCATCTTTCTGGTTGGGGCCGAGGAAGCAACTTCTCCTCTGTTGCTGATGGAATGGCTGTGAAAAGGGGTTAATGCAGAGCTGGGGGCGGGCGGTGACGTTGACACTGCCCGCCCCCCTCCCCTTTCCCCACCACCTCTTAGGCTCACTGCTGACGTTGTCCCTGGCTCCCAGCAGGCTTCTGGATTCTCGCATCGGCATCTCTCCTAAGGCTTTCCACTCTCCTTTCCGGTCCCCGAAGTCTCCCTGCTCCCCCAAATTACAGTCAGGGGGCCCAAAGCCCCCCACATTCTCCCGCCCCGGTTCCCCAGCCCCATTGGTCACCTCCCCCCCTGCAGCACCTGGCCCCCCCCAGGTCCCCGATTGGCCAGCATCCCCATCACTCCGTGCGGGCTGTGCTAACGTCATCCTGCAGTAGCCGGGCAGGGGTGGGAGTGAGAGAGAGTGAGGACGCCGGGCTGGAGGGGACCGAACACAAGCTGCTGCAAGCCCCCCACCTCAGCCGCTCAGGTTGGGGTCTGCCCAGCTCTGCTCTGTGAACCAGCGAGGGTGACAGCTTCCTCTCTGTCCCTGCCTTGCTCTCGGCCCTCCCCGGGAGCCCCTGCAGCCCTCCGCACCAGGTGGAACCGCAGGCTTCAGGCTCCAGGGGGAGAGCCCACTCCAGACCTGCCCTGCCCGACGCGGCGCTATGACCCTGCTGTGGCCCCTTTTGCTGGCCTCCCTGCTCCCCTCCAGCTCCAGTAACAAAGGTGAGTGAGGTGGGAGTGGGAGACCCCCAGAGAGGGGCAGGGGCAGGGGGGCTGCAGGTGTTGAGGCTCCCGGCACCTTTCTCAACCATCCCCTTCCCATCCATTTTCTCAGACGAAGCCTCCTTCTCCTTTCCCGCAGCATCGCCCTGACCATGCCTCCTCTTTTCTGGTGCATCTCTACTCGGGTGCTTCTCTGGTGGGCCATCTTGCCCCCACATGGTCCCCATCACATCTTGGGGTCTTTGCCCAACCCCACACCTGCCCAGTCTCCCCACGCTGGTAGGTACTGCAGGGCTCAGGGGACTCATCGCCTCTCTCCTTGGCTGCATTTTCCCATGAGCAGCTCTGTAGGGTTCATCTCCAGCCCATCCCGGGAGAGACGGGCCCGCTGGTTCCGCAATTCTGAGCACGTATGTCCCTGCGTGCTCCTCCGCGCCCAGCCCCTCGTGTCTGCACGCAGCTGGGCTGGGGGTTAGCGGAGCTGCCCTCTCCGGCAGACAGCAGGGACATTCAGCTGGGTGAGGCCGGCGGAAGGACTGAGAGGGAGGAGGGAGACATGGAAGGAGGTGCGGGGTTGGGTGGGAGGGTAGGTGGGGGTGGGGCTTCCCCTCAGGGCTCAGGTAGGTGGGAGCAGGTGGATAAAGGCAGGAAGGGGCACAAGTGGGCGTGGGAGGGCGCTAAAGGAGTGGTGAGAAGCGAGCTGAGAAGTGGGAGAGGGCAAAGGGGGAGGGTGGTGGAGAGAAGGTAAAAAGAAAATCAGGAGGAAAAGAGAAGAGTGGGGACAGGAGGATGCCAAGGAAGGCAGAAAGGGAACCCAGGAGCGAGCCAAGGAAGTGGGCACTGGGTACCTAGAGGAGAGGGCCTCCCATCACTGGCGCAGGAAAGCTGGGGTGGAGGGCTGAGCTGTGGAGAAGGCCCCTGACTTACCCTGCGCCATGGGCTTCTCAGCCCCTCCATCTACCTTCTCCTCCTCCTGACCTGGCTGGGGCTCCCGCCTCTGGCTCTGACCGCAGTCTGGCTCAGCCTTCACCACTTCCTGCGCTGCCTCCTGTGCCCCATCTTGTGGCTTCTCCACCGCCACAGAAAGGGTTGTCATTATCATCAGCATGGAAGGGGCAGGCACTCAGATACCAGGAAGCTTTTTTTGGGAGTGGGTGGGTAGATGGAGGGGGCGTGATCAGAAGAAACGCTGGAAATGATGATTTCTGGCTCATCACAAATACTACAAATAAGTTGGCTTTTGATGGATGACTCTGTTTCCCCCTGGTGCTCTGTCCTCCTCCATCCATAGCCTACTGGTGTGTCGTCATGAATGTGCCTTGAGAGCCTGGGGCTTGTCATGACAGCGTCACGTGGTGTAGCGGTGGAGGCTGGGAGAGAGGGTGTCCTCAAGCTCCTAAGGCCCCCTTGTGTGCCTTCTCCGTAGCCCCTTCCTGACTAGGCCAGCTGGAGACTGCTCCTGGGGAGGAGGTGGGTCAGCAGAGCGTGGGAGCATCTGGGGTGAGCTCCGCACCCACGCTGAGCCCCACACCCACTCTGAACCCCACACCCACTCTGAACCCCACACCCACTCTGAACCCCACACCCACTCTGAATTGGCTGATGGCGGAAGGGAAGAGGGCTGGATGGGCAAACATTAGAACTAAGTCCTGGGGTTTTACAAACTGGTGGGTTTGGGGAGCGCGGATTCAGAGGCCCTGTATGGGGTGTGGGCATGGGCTGGCGATGAGTGTGTTCTTCTGGGGGTGGGGGTGGGAAGCCAGAAGGGGATTGGCTGTATTTCTAGGCCAACTCAATAATCCCTTAGGATGTTGGCTCTGCCGGGTGCAGGCATTTGACACTGATTCCTCTGCTCCATCCCAGCCACACTCTGTCCCCCTCCTTCTGTCCTATATCTCTTTTCCGCCCCTCCTTTCTCCTGTTCCATCTGCTCTGGGAGAATGGCCTTAGATTGAGACTTGGTTGGGAGCAGGGAAGAGTGCAGGGAGAAGGATGAAGAATGAAGGAGTAGGAGAATAGTAAACAGACCCGCAAGAAGGCCTGCACCTCCTTTCATGCAATCCCAGCTCTGCTCTTAACCTCTCCCTGCATTTTCCACGGGGCCCTTCGGTGGCCACCGCTGTTCTTTGACTTCCAGCCTCCACTGTCAAGTGCTTTACATCCCTAACCTAAAGAAAGTTCTCTGCTACACTCTGGTCCCCAGGGGAGAAGGGGGGAGTGTAGGGTGTTGCTATGGAAACTGTCTATCTTGCAATAGGAGAAGGCTGTGACCTTCCACAGATCTCTGACTCCTTTAATGGTTTATTTCTCATCCTGGTCCACACCCTCCTCCTTGCCCTCATGCAAGGAGCTGCTGCAGGGGTGGAAAGGGTGATGGTGCCAGGTGTGAGTTTGCCTGGAGCATCAAGCGCTGCTCTGGAAGCAGAGACCCAGGGTCACAGGTGCTTCTCCTCCTTTCTCTGGGGTCAGCCAATAAGCACAAGCCATGGATCGAGGCCGAGTACCAGGGCATCGTCATGGAGAACGACAACACTGTCCTGCTGAATCCACCGCTCTTTGCCCTGGACAAGGACGCCCCCCTGCGATATGCAGGTAATTGGGGCTGGGGAATGGTAAGGCAGGTAAGGCAGAGGAAAGTGGTTGGGAGGGCAGGGGTGGTCTCGGGAGTGGGAGGGCTGGGAGAGTGAGGGCAAGGGGAACCTGGGGAAGAGACCTACGGACAGCAGGCTCAAGGTGGGGAATGAGACTGTGACTGAGGACAGGATGACATGTGGCAGGCAGGGGTGAATTGGATCAGGGTTTGTCACCTCTCAGACCTAGTGGCTCTGAGAGGGCAAGGAGGTTGGAGGTATATTAGCTCATTCAGGCTCTCACACTTGCAAGAGAAGGATCCGGGTTTGGGGAGGAGGGCGGAAGCCAGAACCACAGCTGGAGAACCTGAGGGTGGGGGAGGCCATGCTAGAGGGAGAGCAGAAGGCTCACTGCTCCCCCACTTCTCCCTCCGGGCCAGGTGAGATCTGCGGCTTCCGGCTCCATGGGTCTGGCGTGCCCTTTGAGGCGGTGATCTTGGACAAGGCTACGGGAGAAGGGCTGATCCGGGCCAAGGAGCCAGTGGACTGCGAGGCTCAGAAGGAGCACACCTTTACCATCCAGGCCTATGACTGTGGCGAGGGCCCTGATGGGGCCAACACCAAAAAGTCGCACAAGTGAGGGCCCTTCCCTGCCCCATAGCCCCCCCACCCCAACCACTCCCCTGCCCCCTCCCCCAGCTGAACTCCTGTCCTCCTTTCCCAGCCCCTCACCATACCGTGTCCCTGTGGCCATTGGATATCCACCCACTGCTTTGATGCTCTTAGGGTTTAGGATCGGTGTGTTTGCTCCCTCCCTGCTCAGGATCCTTTCAGTCAAGGTGACAGAGCGCATAGTAGAGTTACTGGGCTCTAACCCTGGCTCTGGAGTCCATGGGTAGTGCAGATGGTTATCACACTCGACTGCGAATCCAAAGGCTGGAGGTTTGAGTCCATCCGAGGCCTGGTTATCTCCTTCTGAAAAATGAGTTATTAAAACCGCATGGGGCACAGGTCTGTTCAGTCACACTGAGCTCCTCATGAGTTGCAGTGAACTTCTCAACAACTGCCATCCTCCCTCCCTGCCCTTTCCCTCCCTCCCTCCTTCTCTTCCTTCCT